GACTGTCATATTGTTCAGTGTTGGACAAAGACAAGACCACAATCATGTCAAAATGAAAAAATCTCACCGAAGGCACAGCCACCGCCCCGTTTAGTAGAAGTACGCAGCCACGCTTACCATATCTCAGGGATTTCGGATGTAATCCCCTCAAACTACAGGACGTGTGACGGGGGATGGCTTGGTGCGCAGCCAGATCAGATTCCCATCAGCTGTTCAGGGCCCAGGATGGCATCATTGGTGGAAAAAGGGTGCCCTGGCTGCGCTGCAATCAACGCCACGTCACCCGCGCTATCATTTGCAGGGATCATGACGGTACAATCGAATTGCAGACATGGAGCCAATCACAGAACCCTTGAGCTACGGTGCCATATCCGAAATAGCTTTACGCCCGGAATTCGTAAAGTATGTGGGCTTGCTCTCAATAGTACAAGTCTCCGTAACTTTGTTTAGAGTACAGGTAGAAGGATCCGTAATCAGAATCCAAAGACGCATCTCATTCCAAACAGCTGCTTGGACTTACCACCCCTTGTAAGAGCTGGACTAATTCTTTTTTGTCAAATTAGAGAGGGTGTTCTGGGAAGAAGCGTTGCTGAAAGCTGGTGCACCACTTACAAGTAGCTATCATTGAAATGCTGTTGCCCAACAGTTGTTCGAGAACCCCGACCATATTTGGAGCTCCAGTTCTTAATCTCCAATAAGGCTTTTTTTCTCAAGGCTATTGCATGGTTGCTATCGCCGCAATCAGTGGGGGCGATTTACGAGAGGGATGGAATGAACCCACAAGCAGCATTTCGACCACTAGCTTTCTTGTTTTCTTCGTAAAACGATCAGTACCCGATCATCATTGGTGCAGTGATGCGGCTGGGGACGGGCTCACTTCGCCTCTCCTGAGACCGTCCCAACTGCCTGGGACGATATCAACTATACTAGCTATAATGACCCTTCCTCTTCTTTTCTCTCCCTGGATGCGTTGCATGAGCAGATAATAATAGTTCGGCTTTTCTTGCCAATATGCTATCAAAAACAGGGAACTTGGGTAAATTTTGCCTATAATGGAACCACCAACGTTTGCGCTGCGCTGGGCAGCAGCGCATAAGAAAGACCAAGGTATAAGAAGGAAAGACTTAAAGTTGTCCTAAAATGTTTTTCTACGGGCAGGAGCGAGAGCGATCATCGGTTCTGCTGTCGCGAGGAAATGAAGTCATCCATCAAGAACGACAAGCCCAGGAGTGCTTGCGTCAGTCCAAATTATCTGCGTAATTTCCTCAGTCTAGCCACTAGTGTGCGGATTCCCATGGACTGTCGCTATGGTGTATACCAGCCCTTCAGCTGTTTCTACACCGCCACTATGGCTCCCGGATTCTTTTCGATGATAAGACCGTACCAGTGAGTTGACCCTTGGGGTTCCAAGCACGTTAGTTCAAAGGATATTGAAGACACGAAAGTTGAGGCCAATATATGATGTAGGATTCCAGTGTGTTCGCGTACCCTGTCATTCCCTGCTGAATAAGTTGTACGGATTCATGGGGGCGGGATGTGTTTTGCTACATCAACATCATGCTTTTTCTCTCTACAGACTGACTTTTCTGGTTCACAAAATCCGAGAACTGAGAACACGAATTTTTCGGATTTTCTCGAAAAAAATTTCCCCTAAGGAAAGTACTTCATCCTTCCGAGTGCAATCCCCCTGATAGGATTGTCCCTACAAGATTGTCCCTGCAATGCTGTGCCCTGTCGAGAGCACTAGTCTCGGCTGATCAAAGCTTTTTTTACAGAACTCTGCAGCCTTGTAATAACTTTTTTTGCTGCGTCTTTGTCGCTGACTCACCTGAGATCGACACTTGAGCAGTGCAAGCGATACAGTATTCGTCTCTCCGTCGGTCATATGTCGGAATCGTCCGCCATTCAGAATTTCTCGATTGCCCTTGAACCAACGAATTGTTGGTGGCGGATCGCCTTCGACTTTGCATTGCAGCACCGCTGTCTCGTCTGAACTCAGAATATTTACTTCATGAACCTATAAATATAAGGCACTTTGTAACCACTTTAGTCGTCGTATCAAAAGAACACTTTGGGTGCAGTAAACGTTCAGCTAGTCAACACATTGATAGATCTCGATCCGCGTAGGTTTTCAAGGGCCGTTCTCGAAGTGT